CAAAAACCGGATACACGTAAGATAACCTCAGATAGACACACAAAGGGAGTTTTATCACTTGTAGGAACTAGCTAAACTCAAAAATGGCAACAAAGATTTTTCTGACTAGCCAGAAAAAGGTAAACCATCAAGCCTTGAATCAAGGGGCCAGGAAATAGACACTACTCATCATAATAAACGTGTTTTAAATCAACAGGCCATAGTTATATGCTCTTGCTTGTAGACCTTTGCAGGTGCTTCCACTGCCAGGAGGACAAGAAAAACCACATGTAAACCAAGGACACACAAGCATAGATATTCCACTCACTCGAGAGGATGTGAAAAAACCCAAATTCCAAAGACATGGGCTTTTGACTTCAGACCATCAATCAACAAATATCTATAAAGAAAATCTTCCGCAGCTACCACAAGAAGATGCATTTTGCAACCATAAAAGCCCATTAGCTAAGCAAGCTTGTGAATACTAAGTAGCAGCAACTTCTTCCATGTCCGCTTGTTACTTAATTCTGCACAGCTCCCAGCGCAGAAAGGAAAGGCCAGCACATAAAAAATAATTTCAATTTTCCCTCATCATCCTTCATGTTTCCAAAAAACATCTTCACAAAGTTAAATTACTTGGCGCATCTCATAGGACATAGTTAAGCACTGATTTGAACTGTCAGACCTCAATTAGATAATACGAACACTGGGCTGTAACTTCATACTTGTTCACGGCCAGACAAGAAGAACCAAGGTTCACCGCCATGAAAGGTATCAAACCTTAAAATGGCCTCCTTATTGTCTGTTTACGTACAATCCTAAGAATATGACATCTCTTTATTTATTTAAGAGGGAGACAGACTTGACACTAGCAGGAGCACAAAAGTCAACCATGGAGACAACGAATCTCTGCATTATGAGGATGTAGAAGATCCCAAACACCCAAAGAGATGGTTGTAACTTGCCTTCGGAAGGATGCTCAAACCCAGAATCCACAATAGCACGCAGAAGCTCTGGTTTCAGTAGGAAGTCTCGGAATCCGGAGCTGTGGATACCTACGTAGCCTCTGCAGTAAGAAATTTTAACAACTTGGTAAGACACAAATTTTTACATGTGCAAAACATGCAAAAGCTTGGAGAGAGCTACATAAACATGTTATTCCAATATAAATGCCAGGCATGGTCTACAAATCCAACACTTGTTGCAAATGACTGCAAACATACCATCACCAATCTTAGATTATGATCATAAACACACAAACTTCATAATTACAACAGAAACAGCAGAACACGCAGCAAACAAAATGGGTTCTATCTAACTAATATGTGATAAAGATCAAGCTTTATCCAGAATACAGGCCAAAGATAAACATTCCATTTCATGGTCCAAGCAAATTAGATACTTCACAATATGTCAAAAACATATCACTCAAACTTCAGCTGCTTCCAATAAAGGCCATCTCAAAGACAAGGACCACAAAATCTGAAGCTTAATAGCACTTCATTTTGTAATCCTAGAAAAATTCAATACTTCACAAATGTCAAAACAAGTAACTTCAACTATACTGATTGTTGAATCAACCAAATGAAAGCAGCAACAACCAAAGATCCATCTTTTATTGAATTCAGTACCCTCCACCAAGTAAGCTCAATTGCACAAGGGGAGGAAAAGATGAACAGGATAAGTCAATAAAATTACCATTCTTCTGTGTCTCCCTACATTTACCCGTGAAGAAAACAAAGACATCCTTCGACAACAGGACGAAAAACATTTTACTAGATCAGGGCAGGTACAAAGTCAACAAAAAACCTAAAGCTATAGGTTATTTGTCAGCCAAACGTGTGACTGACCAAAAACTACAAATCATGAAACTTGTGAACAGAAGAGCTACTGCTCTCCTTTGTTTTTGGTGGTGGTTTTTTTTTTTTTTTTGTTGTTGTTTGGGGGGGGGGGGGGGGGATAGTCAGCAAGGATCCATAACTCTTGCCAAGTCAAGCCTAACAAAACCTTGAACTAACCTAGAAAAACAACACAAATCCACAAGAATATTTATCGATTTGTGACCAAAACACAATACCCAAACACAAGCAACGAAAAAACGGAAAACTCAAAACTGAGATTGGCAAATCGAGACATCTACGGCTACAAAACTCAAATTAAATTTTGTAGCGGATAAAACTACACAAATCTAGTTCTAGCAGGTTGAGATTTGAGGTAAAGGAACTGACTTTTTAACGGACTCGCCGTTGACTTTGGCGGAGACGGAGTCAGGGGCTTTTTCATCATCTTCCTCATAGTCGAGAAGCTCCTCCTCGTAAGCATCGTTCTCCTTTGTCTCTCCCATTATTCTGAGGCTGCTCTTTTTTAGCTGCAGACACAAAAAATCCGGAAAAAGGAACTCAGATCGCATCTCAAAAATTCGATTTTAAAATCATAATCGAGCACTTTTATGAGATTAATTCGCAAGCTTCCGGAGATATCCTAGAAATTCTAGGCTTTTTGAAGGAGGTGAAGATTTGTTGTTTACCTCGGTTGAATCTGTGGAGAGTTGAGCTTGATTTTGGGGAAATTAGGGTTAGGGTTTAGGAGCGTCTGCAGAGAAAACTGTTAGGGGAAAAATGAAAAAAAAATATACAAAAAGGGAAAAGATAAAGAGGCTGTGAGAGAGAGAGAGTGATAGGGTTTTCCAACGGAGGCGTGAAGGTGTTTAAATAGGAGATTGGTGAGTTTGGAAACTCGTAGTTCTGGACGATTTATCCTCCGTAGTTCTTAACAATTACGACACTGTCGCTTTGTTGTGGTAGCCTGGTGGGGATGCTACAAGATATTTACCTAGGGATGGCAACGGGGCGGGGTTGCCTACCCCTCCCCTAGCCCCACCCGGCTGCCTACAAACTCCCCCCCCCGCCCCCGCTCGGCCCCGCTTCTCTTGCAGGGTACCTGCGGGGTTAATAAAATTTTTTTCGTTGGGTTAATAAAATTTATTATAGTTAAATTTTAATAAATAATCAAGTACTAAAATATCAACACATCATCAAGTTATTATTCATTTTAATTTTACAATTGAAACTCATAAAAACAATAAGTTATTTGAATACAATCAAACATGATGAAATAAATACAACTAAAATAGTTAAGTTTTCACTTTGGTACAAATACAATCACTAATTCATTATTGTGTTTGTGTTTTATTTTGAGAAAAAAGTGTTATTCTATTAAGTGTAATTAGAAATTTAGTATAAATGTATTAGTAAATTTAGTATAACTAATTAATAAATTCTATTAGTAGACATGTCTAATTATTCGTATAATTGATAATATCAATTATATTACATACACTAATATACATTATATAATATATCTAACTAATAATATCATTATCATAAGTTTATAACTAATTAAATTACTATTATATATAATTATATATATATATAATTTTTTTTTGCTGGTGGCGGGCAGGGGATGGGACAGGAGTATACTCCCCGCCCCCCCCCGTTTCTAAACGGGGGGAAAAATTTTCCCCCGCCCCAACCCCGGCCCAAGAGCCCCCCACGGCACCCACTCCCATTGCCATGCATATATTTACCTGAATTTCGTGGAAGAAATAAATGGAAATAAAAAATTTTTTGTTTATTTCACATATATTTTATGAGGTTCATTGCCAAAAAAAAAAAAAGGAAAAAGAGGTGTTAATTTGGATGTAATAATAATTGGAATCTTTTTGTTTTTTGTCCTATGAGATGGATTTTGTAAATTTCTTTTATGGATTTTCACACAAGCCAAGGTGAAATTTGAAAGTTGAGTTTGTCGTTCCTAGTATAATTGACTAAAAAAGAAAAGAAAAGAAAAGAAAATTTGCTAAGTTTTAGAACTTGCTCAACCATCAATAAGGAACCAGTTATAATTAAGATGAGATAACATAATACTCTTTGTGTAGTTGGATTTCTTTCTTCATTTTAGTAACTTGTATGTCGCATTTGCGTCCTTTTTTCCCCTTGCACGATGGCAAGTGAGAATATGAAACTAAATGGGTTCAAATATTAATTAAATGGGTCATGTTTGATAATTTAGTTCAACACTTAAACTTAATATGTTCAGACCTTAACATATTCAAACGCATTTGATAACCAAAACTAGAATATCTGAATTCATTAAGTAACACTGAATTTTCTAAATAAATTTTGCTCCAAAAATAAATTATAGGCTATTCATTGATCATTTAATGTAATATGCACTCAAATATATCAAATTTAGTATTTAACAATTCACTAATTTAATGGATTTAGATTTCAATTTTCATATTTCAATTTTATCAAACGCAACTAAAACTTGAAAATGATAAAAGAGATACCACAAATTGAACTAAAAGAGGAAGAAATTTAAACAATTGAACAAGTGCCTTCATTGATTATATTTGGGTTAAATACTAAAAAAACCCCTTGTAATTTGTCAAATGTTCAACTTAACCCCTTATAGTTCAAAAATCTACATTTTAGTATCCGTGATTTTAACTAAATTGAAAATTGAACAACAACTATCTAAACTAACGATTGTATGTGAAATATGAGTTTGGATACAGATTATTGAAATAAATACTGTAGCACTTTTTTGTGATATGATGTATATGAAATAAAAGATAATTAAAAATATAAAAAAATGGGTTGAAAAATGTGTTTATGGTGTAAACGAAAAATTATGTGAAATAATTCACCTATCCAAACACTGTTATAAATAATATGATTAAATATTAAAAAGTCCTTTGTAACTTGCCGATGTTCTAACTTATAGTTTCCCTTCGTTTGAAAACCTTCTTTCCTATTAACCACTGAGCCAAAGCTCAGTGACCCTCAAAAAGGGATTTAAGTTCCTCTTTAAATTATAGGTCAGAGGTTCAAATCTCACATGCAGTGAAAAAAAATTCAAAAGTAGCGTCAGAGCACCCCTTTGATTTAATTGGATTAATAAACTTGTTAGCTCCTTATACAGTCTCTTCAGACTCTCTTTCCCGGTAGAATATGATAATGCTGGTAAAAAAGTATACTTATGTCTACTCACATATGTGCCTAGGGATGGCAACGGGGCGGGTTGGGGCGGGGACCCCTCCCCCATCCCCCACCCCTGCCTACAAACTCTCCCTGCCCCCACCCCCACCCCCGCCCCATCCCCATCCCCCGCTCCCCCCGCCCGCCCCGCCCCGCTTCCCCTACGGGTGCCCCCGCGGGACTAATAAAAAATTGTTATATAATTTATTATGGTTAAATTTTAGCAAATAATCAAGTACTAAAATATCAACACTTCATCAAATTATTATTCATTGTAATTTTACAATTGAAACTTATAAAAATTATTTGAATACAATCCAACATGATGAAATAAATATAACTAAAGTAGTCAAGTTTTCACTTTTGGCACAAATACAATCACTAATTCATTATTGTGCTTGTGCTTTTTTTAAGAAAAAAATGTTATTGTATTAAGTGTAATTAGGATTTAGTATAAATATATTAGTAAATTTAGTATAACCAATTAATAATTTATATTAGTACACATATATAATTATTAGTATAATTAATAATATCAATTATATTATATATACTAATAGACATTATATAACATATAACTAATAATATCATTATCATAAGTTTGTAACTAATTAAATTATATATATATATAATTATATATTATATATTATATATATTTATTTTTTAAAACGGGTGACGGGCGGGATACACTCCCCCACCCCGTCCCACCCAACCCCCTCATACATTAGCCCCCGCGGGCGGGTGACCGCCCGTTGCCATCCCAACGTGCCTTACTTTTAAGGGCCAGTACGATTTGGAAGAAGAGGCGTAGTGGGTGGGACTCATCATTGGGTTGGAAAATCTTTTGCTCATAAATTTAAGGGCCTTCCTTGTCTTTTTCTGTCACGGTGTATCACATTTGGAAAGCTGGCAATGCGGTTCTCTTCAATCTTCTCGGCCAGCTACCGCTGTTAGTATTACTATTCTGGGTGCTATTGTTGATGAGGTCCAGCATGTCGTGCTAGTATAGGAAGAAAACTTGAAGAAACTTGGAATTTAGCATTGGAATGGGGTTTCGTCTTTCCGCTGCTTTCAATAGCTCGAACATTATATATAAATTGATAGGATTTGTATTATGTATTCGAGTCTTTCTCTTGTAAACATTCTATTCAGAAAGCAAAAAGATAATAGGAGAAAAAATATGTGTCACAGGATGAAGAAAATTTAATTTTGTCTGTTTAATTCACAGGGCTAGAATTGATTTTTCCTTTACCTTTTTGTTTTGTTTGTGACTTAGAAAAGGATAAAAAGAAGCGGAATTTCTGGCTCATTTTTTATCAAAAAATATCTAGTCCTGATGGGTGATCCTTCCCTGCGCTACTGACATTTTAACTCCACATGGGATGAGGTATGAATATAATCAAAATATCCGGTGTCCTGAATTTCCCTATTGCCATTGGAGGTTCATAACCACTGGGAAGAAATATCAATCAGCCTCTCTTCCTCTTTCACCACGTCAATAGCTGCAACCCCCTGTTCTCCTCAACCAATTAGCTGCTTTACATCCACACAAAAGCAAAGTTTGGTTTCCTCCCTGTTGTTTATGTTTGCAGAAAAGCTCATTTCTCTGCACTCTGGTCCTCCAATCCTTAACATGTGCTATCTCATCTTATGACTCAGGTTCTCGTACCAACAATTTATGCAGTCAGAAGATTCTCACAGGAGGCAAATTCTGCTTTCTGAAGGTTAAGGTCAGTGTTAGTTTTTTTACACAGCACCGCTCTTCTAAGTCTCAATAATGTCAACATCAGGCAAAACCAGGCTTCAATTCTTGCTTTGTACCCATCACTGGCTATGCTTGTAAAAACCCTTCTTTTGTTTTCTTTTCTTATCTACCAGAACCATGCAAATTACACCATGCAGTAGCTAGCTGCAAGTACTGCTGCATATTTTCTATCACCTGATTTCAGGACTTGATGTATGTTGCCCTTTTATCTGAGGAGATACTTCTTTCATCTGGATGCATAGGCTTCAGCCTCAAAGCGTTCAAGTGATGAACCAAGAAGAAAACCAAATAGTCTATTATGTGCAGACTGTAATGGAAATGGTTAGTTTTTGTTGTTGAGGCCTTAAGAACTTTTCTATATTAGATAAGAACATTTTGAGTCTTCTGAGGGGAAAAAAAAAATTTTTTTTTGAGCTTTAGGAATGCCTGAGGTCAATAGGTCATACAAGTTCTCTTACTAGCACAGAAAATCCTGAATGCTGTAGCATATTAGCAATTCATATAATCCCAATTACATGTAAATATTTAAGGTAAGACAAATTAGATATATCTGAACGAATGGCAGCAGAGAGAGAGTTTTCAGTAGAAGAATTCCTGTTGATTTTCCAACGCGCAACTGTCAAAGATCATTGGTGAAATTTGCAAATTAATTTTGATAAAAGAACATAATTTACCCAAAAAAAGGGAGAAAAAACATAGCAACTCTCACCATTCAATTAGTTTAGTGTTGATTTTCAGGTGCAGTTCCCTGCTCCCAGTGCAAGGGTAATGGGGTGAACTCTGCTGATTATTTCAACGGGAAGTTTAAAGCTGGTGATTCTTGTTGGCTTTGCGGGTAACGAGTTATGTTTTCAGCAGTATCTGTGCCTCAGATCATAATGCCATCTTCCCTAACTTTGATGATTTGTTACAATCAAAAACGAATATGTAGTTGGATATGAAAATTTTGTTTCTATCGAATTCAAGAAGTATTTGTGTAGTGTAAAAAAAAAAAAAAAAAGCAGGAAATTCATCTTTTGTAAGGTTGCGTTCACCTGTCCTCTCCTTTGGGACAAGTTATTGGCTGCATGCAGCCTGATGGTGCTTTTCTTGTGTAGGGGAAAGAAGAATATGCTATGTGGAAATTGCAATGGAGCTGGCTTCATTGGAGGCTTCATGACCTCGTCTGACACTTGAAATTGGAAGCTTATATCCAATATACAAGGGCACAATGCAAAATATGCTCATAGCAGATTAAGTGCCTTGTGAGTCCATTATCTGCAATATATACTGTCCTTGTCTGCTTGAACATGTTCTAGAATGCAAAGGAGAAGATTAAAGGGATAAATTCAGGTCATGTAATTATTTAGTGCAGGGATAGGTGGCTGGCTACTTTTCTTTATCAATTATCACAGAGTCATGTATGCCTGTGTTATGTTTTCAAGAAGAAGAAGAATTGAAGAACGTTCCGAAAGGGACCCTCGTACAAATGGTGATAATTCTCTTGTTCTGTCAAGAGTTTGAGAAAGTATATCTACGTAGTGTTAAGATTCTAGTTCACTTGGGGGCATCGATTGCGTATTGTGCTTGCAAACTTTTGCTTTCTTGGCAGCAAATGTTTCAGGATCGAGAATCTATGGACGCTAAAACAATCTTTATTTAACTGCTAAAAATTCGAGAGCCTGATTCAGTTTAGCACGCAACCTGTGATTGCTAACATGAATGTCTTCATCATAACATTTTTATGCGGCTCAGAAGACTTGACGAATATTCTAGCTTTATGAGACTCTAAAAGCTATGCATAAAGTCACTCATTTGCTTCTGAAGCAATGTAGCGGCCTCTGATTTGGGATGAAATACATGATAGACGTGAGACTCCCCTTCAGCTTCGATCAGGCTCACTTTTTGAACACCTTTCTTGTGCAAAAAATCTGCATACATGACTCCCCTTTCTTTCAGAAAGTCTAAGCCTGCGACAAAGACCAGCACTCGAGGAAATTGATCCCATTCACTTCCAGAAAGTTCTGTTTTCTCAAAGTTGCATCCAAGGTAGTCGCGGTTCTCTCCAACTGGCAAGCTTAGTCTCCAGAACATGTCATTTGATTGCACATGGCCTGCTGATTCTTCAGCCATTTCTAGTTCGGTCCTCTTTTCGCTCCCAAAGTAAGGATGGATTGGGATCAATCCTTTGATTCTGACACGAGAAAATTTGTCCTTGATCACTTTGACAGCAACCTGGTGGACTATGTTGCCTCCAGCACTGTCACCGGAGAGAAAAACACGTAAAAGATCAGCCTTTTCAAGCCATGGTTCAGAACTTGCATTGTTGCTTAGCCATTCTAGTGAGCTATAACAATCATCATAAGCTATGGGAGCTTATTTTCTGGAGCAAGGCGATAGTCTACAGAAAGGACAATTGATTTAGATACGGCTGACAGATCTCCCAGGAAATGATGGTACCCCAGCCATGTAGTTGAGCCAATGCAGAATCCACCACCATGAAAGTACACCAAAACTGGGAGCTGGCCAGCTACTGATTCAGAAACATCAGGAAGAAATATTCTTGCTGTGGTGGGTTTTGATGAGTCAATTACCACATCCCTGGATTTGTATCCATTAGATGATTCAGTTGATGCAGTAGCAGTTTCTGGTGCAAATCGCTTCACAGAACCATCAGAAAGAACTTGCATGTAACCTGGTGATTCATCCACAATAGACATTTTCTGGCAGGGTGGTATATCCACACAAAAGTTGTGCTTGACAATGTCAAATACTACAAGGCGTTAAATAGGGATAGCAAAAAGAGGAAGATAAAAGGCCAAAGATGTGTGAAAAGAATGAAAAAATAGAAATTGACTGCCCGTGGAGGTTATAGGGTAGGTTGATCATGAAATGATGCATTCCTTGTTCACTTTCTGATAAGCGGTAGTACCAGATGAAAAAGTAATGCAGCAAAATAACAGCCACAAGATATCCTTGGGCAGAGATAACAGGCGCGCCAGGTAGGGGTCGAACCTACGACTTTCTGCTTAGGAAACAGACGCTCTATCCACTGAGCTACAGGCGCTTCGATTGGTGGCCAATCGCATTTTCCATAGGAAAAAGAACTGAAAGTTACCGAATGCCACAATGAACTAATTCGTTTAGATTAACTGTTTTTTAAGGTGTTTTTGAAAAATTTTACTGTATCGGTGTATATAATAAAAATTTTTTGAAATATTTGATATATTATATGGATGAAATTTTTTTGAATTATTGTGTATTACTGTAATAGTATATTTAAAAACTTATTTTCGAAAAAATGACCAATCCGAACGGAAATAATCAGAATACGCATCCCGAATTTCCTAAAGAACCAGTAGGTTGACGAAGAAGTCAGCTACTTGTAAAATAGTGTACAATGAACACTTCTTTTGAAAGTAATCAGATTTTGCTTAAAGTTGATTAGCCACTTTGAAGTAAGTACAGAATTAAGTGTAACATATTTTTGGATAATGCTCATGCATCCAAGAATCCAAAAAGACAAAAAAAAAAAAAACCACACCAATGCATTGCATAAAGGAAGCGGAGGCAGTGCATTAACCCAAATATCCTGTCACAACAACGACACTATCTATCTGTACAATACTGCAAGTTTCATCAACAGTGGACCACTACAGCTTCCGAACTACATATACGGGCAAAGAGGAATAGAAGAAGATATAACATAAACTATTGCTTTGCTGCTTCCTCTACTACAGGAGTTCTCCCTCAAAGTAACCCAACTGGTTGCTTTATAAAGGTGGCAAAGAAAACATGTTTACAGTAGAATTCCACTGTGAATCTCCTTCAAGACCCGCAAACGCCGAGGAAGCAAGTTTCATGTACATGTTTTCCATGTATTTCGATTTCCGCAAGTTCTTGGGGAACTTTGAGAGATCTTTCTTCAGTTTCAGTTGCAGTGTTGGTTTCGCAGCTTCGATTGCTTCAGATTGGAAGAAATTTCACTAAGGGAGAAAACGTAATCAAGCATTCTTTCACACTGCTTTACTAGCTGATTTAGAACATCAATCCTAAAGAATGGCTGTCCCAAAACCTTTTGGATGAAGGGCAAGCGAATTAGAGCACCACTTCGCTTGTCATATTTCTTCAAAATCTTCACCAGTCCTGCATTAATCAAAGTTGACATTAGATTTCAATCATTAAAGATCACTGACATCCAATCAGATTCATAACACATGGTACCATGATTATGAAACTAGCATCCTAAACAACTGTGCCTCCAGTGAATAGATAATTCACATCTTGTCATTTATCAAGCAAATCTATACACTAAAGAAGTTTCAAAGTCTTAGTTCAAACTAATCTCCGGTAAAATAATGGATCACCAAAGCCTGGTGCCAGATCCTGGACTTGATAATACGAGCTTATAGAAATCTAACCAGCACAAGAGATGCAGATGGAGATTTTAGGTTTTAACTCATACCCAGAGATGTTGAATGCTTTCAACGCATCACATGTGATATAGAGTAAATTTAATTGGAACTCCAGTCACATGTAAGTAATTGCATAGAATCACTGAGGGAGTGCCCCATTTAGGACAACATCACATACTCCAGTAATCGTATGTTTGCATAATAAGATGTACAGGTAGCTCCTCCAGTTTGAAATGTTTGATGCATATCTTTCCAATATCCAGCATCATACATTCTGGAAATTTGTATGTAATGTATTGCTAAAAAAAACACCAAGGTTCACCTTTGTTGGTCATGTAATAACTAAACATTCTAGAATTAACCAAAAATTCTTGTTATTTTTTTCAGAAGTCATTACTGAGAATGGTTTCATTAAAAGGACTTCCACATCTTGCTACCTTTTGTAGCACCTACTCATATTGGCATTTCACATCAATAGGCAAATGTATCAATTTAAAAGACGTGCTCACTAATAATTCTGCTAATTATAATGGGTCAGCGGCTATAATTATGTACTGAAGTTCCTTGAAATGTACTGGAAATGGAACACAAGATCCCCAGCGGTATGAAGACCAAACAGTGGGGAGCCCAGTTCTGATTTCGTTTGATAGATATCTCGTACTGATTGCTTGCTCTATAAGAAAAAAACTAATCTGCCACTCCAACCTAAAGCAAACAATGAGGCTAAACAACTGTTGTTTCTTATCCTTTTTCAGCAGAAGCTACTTCTAAGAGTTCAGCATTTAAAAAAGTGCTCAGTACAGATATATAAATAGCATTAGAATTAAACTTTATTAAGAAAGACTGAACCTATGCAGGGATCCAAATACTTTAGAATGACAGAGGGTAACACAGACAAGAGACGAACAACTTATCATAACATTGGAATGCAATAATAAGATTTCCTCCTTGAGTAGCGATGTTTATCATTATCATGTCATCATCCGAAACCAAATAATTCACTGAACTTAATTGTCAAAAAGGCACCATATCATTCGCCACTTTATAAAATAGATCAACAAGGAGTAAGAAATACAAGAGGCAAATACCAGTGTAGTTAAGAGCACTGTAATTCTCCAATAGGACCATCTCTCCATGAAAATCAACTATCTGTCTGCCTACATTCATCAGATCACCATTCGAACCATCAGCCTCTTCTAACCTATCTTGCAATACCTGTGTTCAAGAAACCAAGACAAACCCATTATCTAACCAGAAAATCCCACCTCAGGATTCCAGAAAAATCATTTCCCACAAAAACAATTTTGATCAGCATTACTCGAAAACTTCAGATCAACACAAGAAAATAAAAGAACAAGATTTACAAAAGTGGGGTCACATCCTATGTGTACCTGCCATTGGCTGCATAAATGCGTGATTAAACGGACAATAAAAAATGAGAATTTTCATCCAAAAAAAATGTAGAACGCCTACAAACGCATGAATGCATGTATGCCAATCACAACAGATAATCAAATATCTATACATACATCAAATAGATATCAAATATTCAGGGGAAAAAGTGCATCAAATTGGAAGACATAAATGAAAACGGAAAAGAAATAGAATACCTTTAATCTGATAATGTATTCTTCTTCTTTATCAACAAAGAAAGCATTAAACTTTTCAATCTCCTCTTCCAACAGCTTCACAAAATCTGTGACCTCCTTGGAGACCTCATAATCACCGCCCTTATCATCATAAACTTCCAATCTCAACCGTTTGCTGGGCCTAACACAATCATCATTGTTACTGCTGTAGGTATTATGATCATCATCGATGAGTTCTTGTTTGGGATTATCAATTTCAGCTGCTTTTTCAAAGCCTTGTAAGACAAAAACTTGTCTTGCCAATCAGGCAGTGTCTCTTCTATTAAACTACTAAGGATTCCAGAACTTCATGTTTCTCCTGATCTTGATCACCACTCCCCTCAAACCACCTTCAGAAGAACAATTTACAGTGAGTGGCGAAGTTGAAACTGGAGGAGAAATGATAGGGAAGGAGGGAGGGTATATATGGTGGGGCATGGGTGGGAGACATGTGGTTGAGAGATATTCTGAATCTGAACTTCGGT